AGCAGAGAAACCAAACTGCTGAAACACCGATAAAACCGACCACTGTCCCAGGTGTAAAATCGTGTTTGCAGCAGACTGATAAAGTGAAGCCTGTGAGAATAGATGGGCACTGATCTTCTTAATGTCATGTCTCTCTTAAATAAATCAACCATAGCAAATGGCTTAATTTGCCATGGGGGGCAATACTATCCAGTATGAGGCACGTGGTACCGTTTCTCTAGATTCCAGTCTTCCCTTCATTTGTAGATGGCAGCAAAAAAAAATCTTAGTGGGGTTTGGTAAAGCTGCCCAACAGATCCAGCCTCACGTGGTTAAGCCTGGATCAGCCAAACCTACTACATCTGGATGAAAAGCATAAGCAAGCAAACAAAAAAATCCTTCTGTTATGGTGAGGAAGAAAAACAATGCAAGTTTCTGCCCAAGAATACCATCTTACCACATCCGAAACGCTGACATCCTGATCCTAATTGCCTCAGCTCGTTTCCTTGGGCGTACAGAGCACGACAAGAGAACACAAGCTCTCAAACCTCTGAACATTTTACTTTGATAAAAGCAACCAAACTACTAGAGAGCTGGGCTGTAAACCACATGGGGAGGGATGAAAAAGAATCCCGTCATAAATTAAAGGCAGAGGAAAAATAGCTGAAGCCACCCGGGAAAGGGACGAGGACCTCGTAGGATATCCTGTACAGCCCAACAACAGCAACCTAATTAAAAAAGCAGCTAGAAAGCACAAAATTATCCCAGGAAAAAGATGAGGAAATGGAAGAAAGAGACCCAGAAGCTGAGCAAATGATCCTCTGAGCCGTTTTTGGTGGCAGCCAGCCGGGGAGGCAGGTGGGCAGCTGGGACACAGCCTTCTTGTGGGACCCGGGCAAGTCATTTAGTCTCTCCATTCCTCTGCCTCTAAGGCAATTAAAAAAAAAATCCCCCCCTCAAACAAACGGTGCCAGGGCAAGCTATGAAAAATCCTCCTCCTACAGCCAACAGCCCTACGCTTCCCTCTGTAATAGCCAACAAAACACTTTGCAACTTGGTAGCCTTCGACCTGCCGGCGTGGGCAGGGTGCTGGCGCTGCCCAAGGGCCTTTTTTGGGACAGGCTGAGTTGCAAGCCGAGGCGCAGTACGGAGGATTCTCATTCAACGTGCACTGCTGAGCACTCAGCGAGAAAAATACCACGATACAGACATGCCCCTCTGCACCTCCATCAGGATCTCGGCCAAAGCCATGCCTGACTCTGACTATTAAATTGAACAAGGTTAGACAGCTGCTCAGAGACGAGCAATTGGAAAATGTACCAGCAGCCAGGCTCACTTTGCAATGTATTGACTTAACTCAGGAATTTGGGAGCTGAGGAGTCCATCCCGCACCAGCTCATACTGCATCCCTGTGGGTGAGGCACTGGACCGGGGGCTGAAGCGGCGTCACGCCTTCTCCCACCATCAGGTTGTTCAAATCCTGCTGCACAGGGGAGCAGCTCGTGCATTAAGAGGTCTCGGGATTAATTTCCTGGAAGCAGACAAAATTGTTCCTTAGGACTTTGATCAAACAAGCTGCATTTCGTGCTCCATCTGTGAAGCACCAATTAGTGCCTTTTCTAGCACATTGAGAGGGCTTCTTTGCTCAGGTACCCGCTGTTCATCCCAGTGCCCCAGCCAGCAAAATAGCGGAGCCGAGGGAGGCCGGGAGCTCGCTCAGGCAAACCTCCAGGTTGTCTGCGTGCTGGGGGGACGGGACGGGCTAAGGCAGGGGAGGACAAGCGCCAGCTACTGCTTGCTGTCAGACTTTTCTCCTCCAGTCCCTCCTTACACAACCTGCCCATCTCGTACCAGCCACCCACAGTCAGCCCCCATGCCAGGCAGGATGGCTTACAGCCCCCCAGCACAGGAGCACCCCGGCACGGTGACGGCTCTGCCGGCAAAGGGTCGGTGGACCTAAAGCATGCAGCAGCTCCTTGGCACTTGTCTGCCCATCCCGCTTTGCTCCTCGTGCCAGGACAGACAGACGGAGCAAATCACCTCTTTCCTACCTGGGCTGAGTTATTGCAGTACCTCACCTGACAAATAGGGCCATGACAAACTAGAGTGAAAACCCCGGTTTAGGCAAATTCCCATCTGTTTAGTTAAGATAATTTTAGTTTACTACTTTTTTTTTTTTTTTTGGCAGTTGCGTGTGCACAATTAACTGCAATCTTGGCTTTAAAAAAAAAATAAAGCACCCTAATTAGCATGTTAAGCCTCCTCATTTCCCAATACTGTATGATGTTGTGAAAGCTAATCTATAATGTATTGGATGTTATGCAAATTCTCTGTACTCCATATGGGGTTTATAAAGGCATGCAAATTAAAAATAGTGTTTGGAATAGGACTGGGGGGAGGGGAAAATTTGCACAATAAAATATGCGGATAGGAGAAAAGGTGTTTATAACCTTCTCCCTATTGTTTGTGTATTTTCAGCTGCACAATGCTTTTCAAAGCGGAGAGATGTATTGCATAAAATCTCTCCAAGTTGGATAGTTTTTAAATGAAATTTAAAATGAGAGCACTGTTCTCTAAGCAATAATCCACACCACTCTTTCTCCTGGGACTTGTAACGGGTAGGTGAAGGCACTCAGCTTTCACTGACTTGCATTGCAATCATGCACAGCTTCTTGTAGCGTATTTGCCTGCGTGTCACCGGGGGCCTCGTCACAACACAGCTGCCCAGGAGGGTCCACGGGGGTGGCTTGGCCACGACCTGGCTGGTCCCCGTCAGCATAAACCAACGGGGCAGGTGCATTACCTGCAGCACCCAGGGCGTTTGCAATGTCTGTGGAGCGTGCTTTGATCCCGTTGATATTTTATAGCCCTACCTATAGGTGGATGCAAACATAGCTGCACTACAGCTGGCTTTTTACGGTGCCGCCGGCTCCTGGTGGAGGGGCTCCGTGCCTGCTGCCAGAGCCGAGCCAGCAAACACGTTCTGTCTCATGCGGCTTGTCACCGCCGCCCATCGGCTGTGTCTGGCTGAGTGCATATAGCCTGTCCTGATTGATATTTAATTAGATTACAGCTGCTGCTTAAAAATAGCCATTTTACAAAGATAAAATCTTGGCTGGTGTCAAACCGAGCCCTGTGCACACCAGGAGGAGTGGTGCTGCCTCTGTCTGGCCAACTGGGAAGCTCTGCCGGCGCAGGCAGTGCCAGCATCGCTGCCACTGGGACCAGGGACCAGCGGTTCTCCCCACCTCGATGGCTTTTCCCTGCTTTTGCCCTCCCTGCTGGCCTCGGTAACGCCATGCTGGGTCACGTTGGTGCAGTCCATGGGGCATTCGGCTCAGGAGCTCTTGAACATGCTCATTTTTCTCATGGTACCCCACAACCTGCCTGGGCTTGGCCAAGCGCAGCCTGTCCCCACCTCCATGGGCTGCCGCCCTCCAGGGTGGCACCTCATGCCCGCGCTCCTCCCGAAGGACATGTAGCACCTCTGAGGGCAGTGCTTTTCAACATCAGCCGCCGACAGGTCTCACGGCCATCTCAGAGGCAGCTTCTTGGTAGGTGAGGGAATGGGGCTTTTCTTCACCAGCTGCTTCTTCCAGTATCTACCCGCCCCAGGCATGGCAGGGCTCAGCCTCTCCTGCTGCTCAAGGGCTGAGCCCTCCCAGCCTGTGGACATTTCCCTAAATGCCGCCATGTAATTAAGCTTGTAATGAAGGTGTTTTCTATAGGTTGTGCTGCTCTTTCTCCTGGGTCTCTTCTGCTCTGCAGAGAGTCATGCACTTTGGGAGGAAGTGGGAGAGCGGCAGGGAGCAGCGAGAGCAAGAAGTGAGGCTGGCACCGGGGCAGACGTGGGCTGAGCTCCTGCGTCTCCTCCGCTGACCGCAGGCATGGATGGACCCACAGCAGGGCATGTTGCAGGGCTGCCGTGCGTGTGTCTGCCTGGTGTTATCCCATGCAAAGTGGCACAGCATCATCGAGGATAAGGACCAAGGACCCATCCCTTTCCTCCCCACCGGCTGCCCCGCATGGCCATGGAGTGGGGATCAAAGCTGTTCAAGCAGGAGCAGGAACCGAAGATGTCCCTAACGCAGGGAGCCTGTCTCATGAAAACGGGCAAGAAAAACCCCAAGACATCACACAAGGAGGAAATGGAAATGACAAAACCCAACTGAGGGCTCCTCGGGCGCCGCTTTCCCACAGGGAAGGGACGGGCGAGCTCAGGTGCCCTGGGCTCGTGGGCTCTTAGCAGCACCACATTCAGCAGCTCCCTTCATCCTGCCAACATTTCCCGCCCTGGGCACTTTCAGCCGGCATTTCCATGTTGACTAATTTGTTTCATAAAGGTCTGCATTTGCTTATGTTCTGCTGCAGTTCCCTGGACCGGTGGAGTTTGGGATGCAGCAGCTCCAGGGTAGAGCAGCCGCCTGCACGGTGCCTCCGAGCACGGTCCCTGCAGCGGCAACTGCAGGAGCTGGAGAAACCACCGCCGGCAGGGCAACAGCCGTGACGGCTGGCAAAAACTCCCTCCATGACATCCACTCGGGGGTGGTTTTGCTTTGCAGACGTGTGCGCGGGCGCACACACACGCACACAGAGCCCCCGGGTGCGGGGGGCTGGAGCCGCAAGCGCTGTTTTACCGTAAGAAGCCACAATTGCTCGTTTGTGGGGCTTGCTGTCTGTTAGTGCAATACAAGGGGTCCTGCTAGATCAAACCCATCATAATCCGTCAAGCTACTGTGAATGCCTGTGATGATTGTACCAAACTGGGAAATTGGACTTGCTTTGTTTCTACTACCTTCATTTAACAGTGAGTGCCGATTACTCAAAGCGATATGGGCAGGACCTGGTAATATAGCGTTGCTCTAGCATTAACTTAAGGGGATGATCCAGTTGCCTGCAGTGTAAATACTTTGTGGCCAGGAACCCTGCTTTATCGCTTTGTATAGTTTTAAAGTAGTTTAAAGATTGAATAACATAAAATAACATAATATAATGTTATTTATGTTATTTCCCACGTGAAGAACTCCTGTAAACCTTGCAGTATTGAAACTCAGTGAACAAGGCATCTTAGACAAGCTGAAAAACAAATGGTGGTACGATAAGGGTGAATGTGGAGCCAAGGACTCCGGAAGTAAGGTCAGTCGCTGAAGGTCTTTTTGTACTGATTAGCAATCACATTTTGACCCACTGTTTATTTATACAAAGAATGACTTTCAAAAGTTGATATTTACATTTTGAAGGTTGAAAGAAAAGAATAGAAAAAATAATTAAGTCTCTGAACGTGACAGCATTTTTCTTTTATGCAAGTAACAGACTGTAGTTGTAAGTATGTTTTACTATTTGAGTATTTTGCTAGAAAAACATGGAAAGAGAAGCTCCCAAAGCCTTCCAAGCTGGTATCTTCATTTAAATGTGCACGTTTCAGCACAGTCAATATGTATTATTCAGGCCAGCATCTTTTCTTGTTTTTAGTTTTATTGAAAAAACACATTTTTGTTTCAAAATTGTGACTTAGATTCTGTACATGTCAGTTTGGGAACCAGTCACATGCTTGCTAAGGGTGGACAATTTGGGGACAGACCCGTGATAAGGAAAAAACGCCCTTCCTGCCCTATTTCCCAATTCCATTTGCAATTGGTTTGATTTAAAAAAAAAAAAAAATCTATTGGTAACTCATTACATAAATATTGTATAGTCTTTTTTATTCTGCTTTGAACCATTTTGCTGCTGTACTGCCCTGTCCCACGCCAGCATGCTGCAGGGCCAGCCAGCCTCCAGCAGCTCCTTGTGCAGGACCGCTGCAGACCCCAGTGGAGATCCCACCCCTGAGGTGACGGGTTGTTCAACCCGGTAGCTGCACACTTAAATTGCAGGAAATAAATATTTATTTACACCATTCACTTAAAAGAAAACACAGAGGATTTTTTTTTTTTTTTAATGCTTATAGAGGCATTGAGGAGAAAAACACTGTAGAAGTGCTGGGCTTGTTGGAGTAAAGGACATTTTCAGAGGCTCCAAGAGGAGAAATCCAGCTCCAGCTGAAATCAGTCGCAGTCGAGTGCCTAACTCCCCTGGTGCCTTTGGAAGTGCTCTCTATAATCATTCAAACAGAAAACTATAATTTGGAAGCACCCTCTCAGTGTCGGAGGACAATTTCAAGTTCCATCGAAGCCAATAATAAAAATCCATTGATTTCAGCTGGACTGGAAGTTGCTTAGGGCACAACCCTCTAGCTGTTCTATGAGATAAATTTGGGATCATGGGACATCTGAATGCACAGCAGCTGCAGAAGGAAACTGTAATTGAACAGAGGTGTAAATGAGTAATATCTTTAGTTTAAATGGCAGGCTGTTTGCTACAACTACCTCTATCCAAACTGCCTGTGAAACGCACAGACACTTAACAAGGTAGATCATACTTTATTCTGACTATATGCAAGTTTTGCTGTTCCTGGAGATACTCGTAAACCGAGCTCCGTCAGCAAGTGTCGTCCCTGGGCACAGCCCCTTGCTGCAGGTTGCTCTGGCATCGGCCCGTCCGGCTGGGCTGGCGTGGCGTGGCCGCCCAGCCAGGGGACATGCCTGCCAGCAGCGATTCCTGCACGCAGCCAGCCGGCCCGCGCAGCAGCAAAAGGGTTGCAGCTCTGTTTAACCTGATTATGGAATCCGGTTTTTAAAAATGCAGGCTTTCTCCCCCGTCTGACATGTATTGAAGGAAGGTAAACCCTGGCCAGCATGTTTTGTGTTACAATGACTGGTCTTATTCAGTAACTAACTCACTCTCCCTCGGTCACCGAAGGTGCTGGTTCAGCTTAGGGCTCTGCTGCTCGACCTTAAAGTAACTGACCATCTTCCTAGGGTGTTTTTTTTTCCAAACCGTTGGAAAAAAGGTAGATAAGTTTAGCAGCATCTCAATATTTTTACCTACATTCACCAAAACCCAAGTGTGTAGTGGTTTGGGTTTTTCTTTTTCTAGTTTCATAATGGCCTTCTGTAAAACCTGCTGTTTTACGCAGCCACTACTTTCCCCGTCAGAGCTTTCCCAGGGTGCCTTTGCCACCAGAGATGCTCAGCCGTAGACTGAGCCGTAGACTTGCCGTAGGTTTGCTCTGGGATGCCGAAGGCCTGGGGAAGTCAGTGGCCAAAGAAAATCTCATCGCCTTGCACTTGGCCAGGGTTTCGCCCACCGAAGGCTGGGAGACAGAGCAGTCACTGCTGCGCAGCTCCGGGCTGCCGGGGTCGGGGGGGGACAGCGCTGATCCGTGAGTGGGACGCTGAACGCCATGAGTGTAGTTATTCCAGCTAGGACTAAGTGCAAAGTAGCCTGTTGTCTGTCTGTCTGTCTGCTCCTCACAGTAAAACTAATGGCGTGGCTCGTTTCTCTTAGGACAAGACGAGCGCTCTGAGCCTGAGCAATGTTGCCGGGGTTTTCTATATCCTTGTGGGAGGCCTCGGGCTGGCCATGATGGTGGCACTGATCGAGTTCTGCTACAAGTCTCGGGCCGAGTCCAAGCGAATGAAACTCACCAAGAACACGCAGAACTTCAAACCTGCTCCCGCCACCAACACCCAGAATTACGCTACGTACAGAGAAGGCTACAATGTGTACGGCACAGAAAGTGTGAAAATCTAGGGGTACGGCTACGGGCCGGGAACTAAAACCCTCTGGGTTTTCTTTCTTGCTTTTTTTTTTAAGCTGTGTGTGATATTTTGTTGTGTGCATCAGCGAACTGCTGCAGAAGGGCTTTTGAAACATCGTCTGGTGGCAGTCTCAGAGTATAAGTGATTTAAATGTCTTCCCTGAACAGAAGTAAGCTTGGTACCGTCCTGTATTACAAACAGTGATAGCTGGCTTCATGCTGAAGTGAGTAACTCCTCTCTCCAGCATTGTGCTAGTTCAGTACAGATAAAAGTATTTTGTTAATTGCTTTAAAAATTACTATAATCAGAATTCGCATCTGTCTTGCTAGTGACCCCTTCCCCTTTATTTTTTAAGCTATAATCAGGTCAGGTAGGTGCTTTTAGGAAGTCTCAAAAAAATCTACAATAGAACAAAAAAGTCTACACTAGAAATCATGATTTCTAAAGCATGAAAAGTAGAGTGGAATTGCTGAAAAACAGCTCTGGAAAAGCCTGGTTAGCCCATCGCCCGCAGACTGTGCCTCTCCCCAGGCTGAGCTTCCCTGCCCCTCGCTGCCGGGCAGTGATGAAATCTTTCTGGTTTTATTACAGATCCTCACCCTGACAGCACGCAAGAGGAGAAGCAGCAGAGAATGTGGCTACTTCATGGATTCGGACCACCTGAGCCAGTCGTACTCTCTCCGAGGTGTCAGGCATGACACGCATTGATGATGGTGCAATGTACTTTTAATAGGAAAAACTGGTATTTTTTCCTTCAGTGCCTTATGGAAGACTCTGAGACTCACAACAATGCAAACCATCACCGAAATATTCTTGCTTTGCTTGAAAGAAGTAAAAGAAAAAGAAAGGAAGAAAAAAGAAAAAGAAAAAGAAAAAGAAAAAGAAAAGAAAAGAAAAGAAAAGAAAAGAAAAGAGAAAAGGACAAAAGAAGAGAAAAGATAAAAGAACAGAAAGAGAAAAGAGAGAAGAGAAAAGAAAAGAAAAGAAAAAGAAGAGAAAAAAGAACAGAAAGAGAAAAAGAGAGAAAAGAAAAGAAAAAAAAGAAAAAGAAGAGAAGAGAAAAAAGAACAGAAAGAGAAAAAGAGAGAAAAGAAAAGAGAAAAAGAGAAAGAGAAAAGAGAAAAAGAAAAGGAAAGGACTGGTAACAAGATATTAGTATGAGAAAAAAAATTCTTGTAAAAAAATCAGTGCAACAAAAGCCATTCTTTGATACCACTGCACAGTAAATGAACTTGTGTCCTGAAAGCAAACCGCAGCCGGTTTCATCAGCCACCCCAATCGTATCAAATTATGAAACTCCTCCTGACACAAAGCCTCAGAAATCTGCTGCGTGCGAATACGGACTGGCCTGTCACTGCTTGTATGAGCTGATGTCAAGATGTTTCAGTATTTACTTATCAGTGGTGTGATTTTTTTTTTCCGAGCCACTTTAAACTCTCCAGCTAATTTGAGCAATTCTGTATAGCAGTAAAAGGTGTAACACCTGAAGAAAAGAATCTGTGCATTAAAACCAGTTAAAGTCAATGACTGTGAATCTGTAAATCCAAAAGGAAGTAATTTGTGGAACTGCATGTCTTGCTTCCAGATCAGTAAATTAATTTCTTGACAAGGTAGCTAAAGTGCAGGCAGAAAATATTGCATTCTTTTTTTTTTTTTTTTCCTATCATCAGGCATACCTACAGGTGCTTTATTAAAACGACATTGGGTGGCTTTTAAGAAAAAGAAAAGCTACTTGCTGTTTAGGTTCAGACCATAATATCTCTTTTCTTGCTGTGCATTTGCATTTTAATTCACTGTTTAATATCAAGCAATGAAGCGAGAGAAGCACAGGTTAGTTTTTCCCAGGCCTGCTTCCGCTTCAGCCCCGGTTCTCTCACAACTAGCGCTGTGCTCAGCTAATGCTTCTCGGTAATGGTCGTGTTAAAACAGAAGTAAGGAAAGAGGATAGTAACTCAAATTAGAGCTGCAGTTCCAGAATAATATTAAGCGATCTAACATGAGTCCTGCTAGTACTGTTATATTATATCAGCTCCTGCCAGCTCTCGTGTCGTGGCTACTGGTGAGAGGATGCTCCTGTCCTTGCCCTCTCTGTATAGAGGATGCCGCGCTCCAGCCGACACTGCTACAGGTAGGGGCTCACTATTACTCACATCCAACATCGTAGACAGCAGCAGCGTTTCAGCCTTGAACCTCTGCCTGGAAACTACTTAACTTCATCTTTAAAAAAAAAAAAAAAAAAAAGGCAAAAGACAAAAAAAAAAAACACCTTTAAACATATTGTCAATCACATGGGAAATGTTCAATGGAATATCTGCATACTAATTACCTCTAATCGACAATATGTATTTTCTGTAGTTTACTATAGAGTTTTATTTCATCAGTAACATACAATGAAAAAGAAACTCATTTAAACCAGTCTGACCCTTAGGCGTTTAGTTTGCTGATGATAGATTTGAACTTTTAATAGGATTTAAAACAAAAGAAAAAGATTATATGGGCAAAGTCTTGTTAAAAATAAGTATTTCCAACAAAATGTAATATAAAATCATTTTAAAAGCTGATAGGAGAATAATTTATTGTTTGAGTTTTTAACAAGATATTGACAAAAAATTGTTGGTTTGTTTTCATTTTCTTTTCATGAAACTGTGATTTTTTTTTTTCAACTTCTGAACGCGATCACGTCCCCAGCAAGGGCGAGCTAAAGCTGTGCGGTTATGAGTTGTGTTTAAAACAAACATTTTTCTTAAAAGCTGTATAAAAGATGTATGTTTATCAAATCAATTTTTAAGAGTGGAGGCTTCACACCAGTGAAGGGGGTTTGGTAAATGGTTCGATATTTTTTAAACTTGCATGTAAAGCTAAAACAAAACGTGTTGAGTGCTTACCAATTCCGGCTACCAACTTCAAGCTATCGGAAGTTCGGCAGTAGTCTCAAGATGATTTGTTTTGGTATGTTTTTTTCATTTGTTTTGCTTTGGGGGATTTTGGGGTTATTTCCTTTTTCTTTTCTTTTTTTTTTCCTTTTTTTTTTTGTAATTTAAGTTCCTATTTTTGGTCGTTGAAACTGCACTTCAGTGAGCAGAAAAATTGCCAAGCAAACTAATGGCTGTAAAAGCATAAACTGCATGTGTGGGCATCAATTACTGAGCCTCATTTTAATGAGGTGTTGTACAAAGAGTTTTAATACATTTTGTAAATAAAACTGTAAAGAAAAAAAAATACAGAGCCCGCTGATATTTTCACCGGAGGAGAGAGAGTCCCTGCCTACTGACGTCCCTTTGGCCAGGCAAGCCCGTCTCTCTCTATTTGGGATGCCCCATAGGTATCTCGTTTGGGGCCGGGCGGTGCCTTGGGCCCCGGAGATGCCACCGATGCTTCGCCCACAACGCTGAACCGAGGACGCTCCTGGGAAATACCTATTTCTGGTTTGGTACCCTGCAAACAAACTGATTTTTTTTTTTCTTGATGAGTGAAGCTGGTTGATTTTGGCCGGGTCTGAAGGGCACCCTGCGGGGAGGGGCGGGAAGGAGCAGGGGAGAGCCCCCAGGGCTGCGAGCGGGGCGGGAGGTGCTATGCCCAGCCCCGGGGGTGGGCAGCAACGTGGGTAAATAAACTCTTAAATATTGACTAGATTTATTTTCCTGCAGTTCCCGCATTTTCAGCAATGCTTTTTAAAACAAACAAACTTCACCCAACATTGGAGCTAATCCTGACTCTAATTTATTGAGCTCACCGCAGCCACAGTTGGGTTTTTCCAAGTCACCACAAACTAGGAACCGTAGGAGGTAATCCTGGTATTAAACAGCCGGTGTGCACCCAAATCACACCCCGGCAGGGGCAGCCCCTCTGGGGTACCCCGGCCAAACCAGCCTGGTGGTCGCCATCAGAAACCAGCTCCCGCTGGGCTCTGTCCGGGGGCCACCATGGGTGACGCTCCCCTGTGAGCACCCGGCGCCTGCCGGGGGCTGAGCTGGAGCAACACAAGACTTCACGCCGATGGCTGGGGATGTAAAGATCATCTCCGGAAAAAGAAAAATCCAACAGTGAAGGTCCTAGGCAGGTAGCACCGCTGCAGAGCAGGCAGGCATGGGACATGAGCAACCGGCTCGGTACCTGCTGGCCAAAGCACACCCTAAAACCCAACCAGACGAGCCGCGTGGAGTGCCGCCGCCGTGGTGCCTCTGGATCTGGGGAAAAACGTGCGTGGGGTGCCTGGCAGTGGGTCCCGGCCATGGGGCTGCCGAGCCCGGCCCTGCTCCCTGCAGAGCTGCCACCAGCCGCTGATGGTTGTTGTACATGAGCACGGAGGTGGGACGCAGGGGCTGAGCCCACCTGCATGTCTCCAGCCATGTCTTCAGCAACAGCAAAACGAGCTCAGGAATAAGAAAGGGCTAAGTAAGAGCAATAAACAGCAATTATTTGACCCTAAACCATCCTACAAGGCTGAAGGTTTCAGGTTGTTTTGGGGGTGAGAAGAGCCCTGTGCTCAGCTCCACGCGTGGAGCCAGCCCTTCCCGCGCGGGCGGCAGGGACACGCACCTCCCTCACCTCGGCCCTGGGGGAGCCCTGGCTGAAATGAGCCTATTTATATGTAAAGCGCCCACACAATGAATGCAGGCAGGCATGGAAAAAACCATTGTTCTATCCTTTAGCCTTCATTTCACACTCAGCATCCAGGCCAACATGGGTGGGTCGTGTTTTTCTAGAGAGCGGTCTTGACCCGCTCCCCACTGCCTAATGGCCGCACACGGCCCCACACCAGCCACGGGGGTGAGCGATGCTCCCTTCCCCATGTACCTGCCAAAATGTGCTGCTGTGAGCAGGGCTTAATTTGCCTGCTGAGCCCCAGCGCCGAGCTCGGAGGGTGTGGGTGAAACGGCAATGCCAGACTGATAGCCAACCCTGGCCCTGCGTGAGCACCTGGTGCGGTGCTGCCCTGCCAGGGTCACGCCGAGCACCAGATCCTAACAAAATGGGTGTTAAGTTTTGCTAATAAATATGCATCAGGCTGAACAAGGATATTAGGGCTGGGGTGAGGTGGCACGGCTGCACCCAGCAAGCTGGGAGAGCCCGGCCAGCCGGGACGGGGACAGGGACAGCTCCACGTGGGGCCATGGCCACGAGGACAAGGCGCAGGAGCGGGTCCTGCCATCCCGGGCCAGGCTGGGGCTGGAGGGGCCCCGGAGCCTCCCTGGGCTGCAGGGATGGTGCACGTTGGGCCAAAACCTGGACTTTGCAACATGCACTGCAGCGAAGGCAGCAGGGCTAGTGCGACAGCCCTGGAACACAGTGCTCTAACACACCCCAAAGGGACTTTGCCTCTAGACTTTTGGGGGGAAATAATACAAGGAAAAATTCAGAGTAATTCATCCAGTTTCCAGAGCCATCAGTGGGAGCAAAAGGGCCTCGACGCTGGTGAGGTCCATAGCAGCTCCTCCTCACAGCAAAGAGCACATCTGACAACAAAATAAAATAAATAATATTAAGCTGTAACACAAGCCCCACTATATTATTATGGCATAGTTTTCCCTCCAAGGTTTTGTGCAAAGCACTGCAACATTTAAAAAAAATAGTATTTATGGTTATTAAAATAATAATAAGTCATCGTTATTAAAATTAAATTACAAAATTTCTTTGGTGCTCATATTCATCATCTCAGTTTGCAAAATTGACTCTATTTTGCAGGCAGCAATACATAAACAAGCTCTGGATAATGATAGCTCAATTCAATTAAACTAAAGGATTTAAGTACAGAGATAATATTTTCATGGATATTATAAATTTCAAAGTAATATGAACTCAGAATATAATACATCTAAAATTGCTATCAAGGAGGACAGTGCCCACAGCAGCAGCATCGCCCACACCCCGGCACGCCGCTGAGCTGCACTCAGTGCCCCCGCAGCACCGGGACTGCGGGAAAGGCCCAGGCTGACATTACGCCACGGGCTAACACCGGCGGGGTCGGAGCAGCCACTGACAAGTCTCACCCCGCCCC